GCTGTTACTAATCTCTATAATATTATAGTGATTATGATGTTTATAATAGAAATAACACCCTCAATAGTCATAGCATTAAAAAATATATATATATATATATTATAATGTTTATAATAGAAATAACACCCTCAATAGTCATAGCATTAAAATATATATATATATATATATATATATATATATATATATATATATATATATATATATATATATATATATATATATATATATATATATTATAATGTTTATAATAGAAATAACACCCTCAATAGTCATAGCATTAAAAAAAAAATATATATATATATATTATAATGTTTATAATAGAAATAACACCCTCAATAGTCATAGCATTAGGAAAAAAAATATATATATTATTCCCGCCAGTGCAAGGAAATGTGAAATGGGGTAAGGTCACAAGGTCTACTAATTGACTCCTTTATGGCTAAGCACTAGCAGAGCCGTCTATGTGCAGAGACATTTTACAGAAAATTTTTTAAATGAGTGCAGCATTTTCCAAGCAGCATTGGGTTACTTGCTTTTACACCTAGATGGCTACAATTGTGCTAAGTCACCAGTGAGCCAATTACAAGTACTACCTGTCTCGCCTATTTTTCCTTTTCCTTGATTTTTAAAAATATTTTACGTTATCATTGTATATTACTGTTACTAATGTCTATAGCATTTTAGTAATTATAATGTCTGTAATAAGAATAACACCATCAATATTCATAGCATTATTTAAAAAATGTTTTTCCCACCATTTCAAGGAAAGGTAAAATCAGGTAAGGTCACAAGGTCTACTAATTGACTCCTTTCTGGTTACGGACTTCTAGTGCCATCTATGTGCAGAGACATTTCATAAAAAAAGAGAGAGAGAGAGAGCAGCATTTTCCTGGCAGCATTGAGTTAATACTAGAGTAGAAAAACTCACACTCTCTCTCTCTCTCTCTCTCTCTCTCCTCTTCACATTATACAAGCAGTTCCAGTGAAGAATTTTCCCAAAGGAAACCATACCCAAGATGATAGCACTAGAGAAAGCTGAGCGTCAGTCAGAGGAAATAACTGGCCATATGGGTACATACATTTTGATCAGGTCTTCATTCCCAACCTCTCTCTCTCATCTGTACATCACTCTGTTCTGTTATTAACATTTCTTAACTATTATATTTTATCTCTTTCAGATTAATTCACAAGAGATTTAAGAAGACGATTATCAGCGCACGGGGTGGGGGTGTGACAGTGGCCACAAAAAGACTTTTGGGGCAGCTGCCGATCTCAGCACAGTCGTACTCAGCCTCTCCCTACTTAGACTTAACACTCTTCTCTTATGACGACAAATGGGTGTCTGTGATGGAACGCCCAAAGAGCTGCGCTGATCATCCCATCAGGTCAGTAATTTTATCTTCATGACTTGTAAGTAATGGAGCGAATATTCTGGAACAGTGAATTATTCCCCACATATACATAATTCCTCTCTCCTCTCTTTCTCTTTGTGGGATGAATAGGAGTTTGGTCAGGAATGCAATGTATTTTATTAAATATCACATTTATAATCAAACTCAAAATCATCACCTAACAGATACCAGTTTAATAGTGTTTTATTGTATTAGAATAACTTCTAATTCACTTGGCCATCAGTTACCTGTAAAGTTATACATTATTTTTGGTTTATTTAACATCAGCACTGGCTAGATGTATATGCTTAAACAATAGTATAAAGATTGATACTAGAGTAAAAAATAAGTGCAAGTGTAGTCAGCTGGATATTGATTAATTTTAGAGAATGAAATCAAGCCATTTTCCTTTTAGGTTTTATGGTCGTGATTCTGGCCTCATCAAGTTCAGCATTCATGCTGGACGTGGCAGTCTCTTTGGATCTTCAACATCCTTATCGTCCACCAGAAGCCTTGTGGCCTTTACCTTTCATCCAGCTGATCCATTCACCATATCTGTCCAGCGAGCAAATGCAGATTATGTTGTGAACTTCCACTTGAGACATAAACCAAGCTGACAGGGATTTTATTCTAGCAGTGAGCTTGTGATTCTTTGGAATATAGATGTATCCAAAGATGTCAAGCTCTTTCTTTACTTTTTTATCTGCTTTTGTTGCAGTTACCTTTAAATAATGTTATGGAAATACATTTGATGTGATGCTTGAAATAAGTATAATGTATTGCTGTCTGAAAGGCAAGTCTCAATGAAATATCTTGATTTTCAAAGATGTAATATAGATGGTTCTTCAGTCTGTATTGTTGATAGTTTAATTTTTTCTCTGGGCCCAATATTTCAAGGTCATTTTAGTGACTATATAATCAGTGAGACAAAGCCATAGGACCTTACAAAAATATGGATTTTATCTTAATTAAAATATGTATATAGAATATTTACAGTACTCACCTTAGTTACAGAAACATGTACTAAACTCAGCAGTTAGAAAAGTTGTTTCTTCTTTAAGGATGTTATAGCTCTTTTTTTTATCAGAAAATATTACGACAACCACTGTTTGAGTTTTTCAATATAATCATTCCTTTATTGATTAAAACTCATTTTATTTTGATTAGAAGCCATCTTAATCCAATGCTGCTGGGAGTGGCATGTACATACATGCCATGCCCACTGTAAGTTTAGTTTGTTAATTGTCTTTACACATAGATGGTTCCACACATGTATACCCTTTACTTTGATTTTTGGAAAAATTTTCCTGGAATCATATTTTGCTATTAGTAGAGTCAATAAAACTATAATTATAATATCAATAATACTATTATTATTATTATCAGTATTGATAGCATTAGTGAAAAACAAGTTTTTATTGTAAACTCAAGGAACAGTGAACGCAGCTGAGATTCCTTTGTGGCTAAGTACTTGTAGAGTCATCTATGTGGAGAAACCTTTTGCAAAACAATACAATAGTGAACATTACATTTTCCCAGCAACATGGGTTAAGAAATGTCATATTGGAAGCTTTAAATGTACTAGGTATTTGTGCAATAAAAAGAATTAAGGAACTTTTATTAAAAAAAAAAAAATACAAAGGTGATATTTAAGAATCAGGAAAATTGCATTGTATACTCACATGCACTCACACATAGACACATGCAGTTGCCACAATCTGTAGCACATATACAAATACACATACAAACAAACAAGCAAACAAATAACCCCCCCCCACACACATACAAATATATAAAACAAATAAAACATTATGATGTAAAGGGTTTAACTTTTTTGTTATATACTGTTATAAAGATCAGTTAAGGATACCTTATTTCATATATTTTATACAGATGTGCCTCCTCATTATATATAGTATTTTTATACTAATATTGAATAAAGTTGTGAATACTTTTGATAA